GAGTAAAAGTGAATGGAATGGAGTGGAGTGAGGTGGGGTGGGGTGAGGTTGGATGGAAACTGGAATCAGGGAATGGAGTGGAATAAATGGCATAGCATCCAAAAAATGTAAATGAAGAAATGGAATAAATAGAAAAATCATAATAGAAAGGAATGCAGAGGAAAAGAAGAGAATAACATAAACTGGCATGGAAAGGAGACTGACGACACGGAGTGCAGGATTAGAACTGAATGGACAAGAGTGGGAAGGGAAGGCATTTGAGGAAAGGAAAGGGATGGAGAACAAGTGACAAAAAAGCAATATGACAAAGGGTAATTGGGAGTTCAAGAATGGCAGTGCGGGCACAAAACTGGAATGCTGCAGAATCTAGAATGAGGAAATGGAGTTAAATGGAGTTCATACGATGGTGTGGAGGGTAAGGAAATGGGAAGGAATGTTGGGAGAGGACTTGAAAGCACGAAGTTAAATGGCTGGGGAAGTAACACGGGCGGCTGGAAGGGAGTGCCATGGAAAAGAATGACAGGAGCGGGTGGGAATAAAAAGAACAGAATGGGATCCAATGTGGAGGAATGGAAAAGGGATAAAAGAGGACAGAGTGAAAAAATTGGAAACAGCAACATGGATTTAATGGAAGAGGGAGGCATGGGGGGAAAGGAAATACAGGGAGAAGAAGGAAATAAGTGAAAAGAAAAGGAAGGTGAGTGGGAAAGTAGTGCTGTAGGATAAGAAGAAAGGGAATGCAGTGGAAGGAACTGAAAGCCAGGCAAGGGTTAGTGTCCAAGTCAGTTAAGCGTCCAACTTCGGCTCAGGTCATGATCTCACGGTTCATGGGTTCGAGCCCCACATCAGGCTCTGTGCTGACAGCTCAGAGCCTGGAGCCTGCTTCGGACTCTGTGTCTCCCTCTCTTTCTGCCCCTCCCCGACTTGTGCGCTCTCTCACTCTCTCAAAAATAAATAAAAACATTAAAAAAATTTTTTTAAGTCTATAAAGAACTTACCAGACTCAACACCTGAAAAACAAATAATCCAGTGAAGAAATGGCAGAAGACATGAATAGACATTTTTCCAAAGAAGACATCCAAATGGCTAACAGACACATGAAAACGTGCTCAACCTCACTCATCATCAGGGAAATACAAATCAAAACCACAATGAGATACCAACTCACACTGGTCAGAGTGGCTAAAATTAACCACTCAGAAAACAACAGATGTTGTCAAGGACGAGGAGAAAGGGGATCCCTTTTACACGGTTGGTGGGAATGCAAACTGGAGCAGACGCTCTGGAAAGCAGTGTGAAGGTTCCTCAAAAAATTAAAAATAGAGCTACCCTAAAACTCAGCAATCACACTACTAGGAATTTATCCAAAGGATACAGGAGTGCTGATTCATAGGGGCTCATGTATCCCAATGGTTACAGCAGCACTATCAACAATAGCCAAATTATGGAAAGAGCCCAAATGTCCATCAACTGATGAATGGATAAAGAAAACGTGGTATATTTGTACAATGGAATACTACTCAGCGATGAAAAAGAATGAAATCTTGACACTTGCAACAACGTGGATGGAATTGAAGGGCATTGAGCTAAGTGAAATAAGTCAGTCAGAGACAGATATCGTATGTTTTTACTCACATGGGGAAGTTGAGAAACTGAACAGAAGACCATGGGGGAAGGGAAAGAAAAAAATAGTTATGAACAGAGAAAGAGGCAAACCGTAAGAGACTTTTAAATACAGAGGGCACAAGGGGGTGGGGGAAATGGGTGATGGGCATTGAGGAGGGCACTTGTTGGGTGTTGGATGTTGGATGTAAGTGATGAATCACGGGCATCTACTCCCAAAGCCAAGGGCACACTGTATGTTAGCTAACTTGACAATTAATTAATTAATTAAAATTTTAAAACTAAAATGTTTAAATTCATAAAAAAAAACAGAGCTGAGTGTACACAGGGATACTGAACAGGAAGGAATGGGGTGATGGAAGCAAGAATGCATAGAAAGGATTACATGTATGAATGGGGAAGAGCAGGAATGACATGGGATGAGAACGAAAAGAATGGAAGTGAGCCCAAGGGATGGGACGGAAGCGGGGTGGACAGGAATAGAGTAGAAGGTAGCAGAACGTGGAAGAAAGGAATCAAGTGGAATTAGAAGGGGAAAGTGAACAAAACGTAATAGAAAGTAGTGAGAAAGAATGGGAGGGAAAGAAGCTGAGGGCGAGATGGAAAGGGACACAATGGGATCACACAGTGGAGTGGGATGGAATCCACAGAGCGCGATGGGGTTCAGTGAGTGGGAAGAGAGGAAAAGGAATGGAATCGAATGAGTAAGAGAAACAGAAGGAATTTTACGGGAAGAATCAAGGGGCGCCTGGGGGGGCTCGATCAACTCTTGATTTCAGCTCAGGTCATGATCTCACGGTTCGTGAGACTGAGCCCCGCATCGGGCTCTGCGTGGCCTGCCGCTCTCTCAGTAAACAAATAAATGGATAGAAAAGAAACACGCGGTGTCGGAGTGTCCCCAGTACTGACCCCGTCTTGTTCACATCTGCAAGATGACCTCCCCGGGGGGGCTTACGTGTTCCGTGCACCTTGGAAGTTAGCGTATCCCCCAAGCGAATGCGGGAAGGCTTGTTCTGATATTCCGTGTGGCTGTTTAGATAACTCGTAGAGATGACATAGTTTCTTCCCCACCCCCACGCCTCCTGGCACACAGGTGCACAGGTGGCAGCAAGAGGTCTGTTAAGCCTTAGACCCTTTGACTTCACTCTATAAAATCCGTGGATGAAGATCGGGACTTTTTGGAGAACTGCTGTGCAGGTGCCTGGATTATCATCCACCCGATCTCCCCTTCTCAGTAGGTTACTCTGAATGAAAATCTGCGTAAACTGTATGGGGTCACCTGCTTTGTTTTCTGGTCTCAGAGTGCCTCCTCAGTTTGGGGATACATTCCTGCCCCCTCTCCGCCTTCTAACAGGTGGCGTGAAAACAAATGTGACAGAAACATGGAACGGAGTAAGACCAAGTCGACCGGAAAAGAAGAGAATGAAGCGAACTAGAACATGATAGGATGGAACTGAAAAACGATTAAGGGAAAATTCTCTTGATAGTTTATCCCACAGACATCCCATCAAGGAGGAAGCAGCAGATTGGTGACAGCTCTTGACCTATCCAAAGATTCAGGGTGGCATAAAAGTACCTCATAGTGTGATTCTGCGTTTCCTTTCGGTAGAGTGGGGACCAATGGATCCAATGTAACTTCGGGCGATGGTTTTCTGGGGCCATGAGAATCGTTCCCGGGGGTTACTGATGGCGGCTCCTTCTGTGAGTGAATGGAGAGATCAGTTAGGGACCACGGGCACAGACTGCCTTAAAATCACGGTGTCTACAAAGCGTCAACTTGCATTCTTCAGTGACCCGAGAGAGGAGCAGGTTTCACCAGGATCTTACAAAGAATCAGAAGTGAATGTAAGTTTAGGACCCAAGGCCCTGCCCCCGATCTAGAACTCTGTCTTTCCACCTGGCGACCTCTGCAACCTCTACTCCAAGATTTCCTTTGCACCCCAGCGTGTGCCTGGCTGGTGCCACCTCATTTGCAATACAATTCAGAGCCCGGGAGGTGAAAGGAACACAGGAGGGGCCAGAGACCTGGAATCTGACCCAGCTGCCTCTAAAGCCTTGGGCTACTTTCTCCCCATCCCGGCCCTGCAATGCACAATTACTATTTACACAGGATGGTTTCTCAGACTCGTCCAATACAAAGTTCTCAGGTTGTATTCCCTCTGCAGATTTTTCATATCAGGCCCAGCGGGGCCAACATACCTCATAAAACTGCTCTGGGGGAGCTGGTGGCAGCATCTGGGGGAAAAGAAAGTGGTGAAGAGGTCATGGGGCTTGGGATGGGGACCGCCCCCAGAAATTCCCAGAAACAGCTTTGGCCTCGGAGGCATTTCCATCCCTCCTGACTCCCAGAGGAGCTCAAAGCTGCACATTGTCATGTTGAAGAGCTAGAAGACAAAGGAGAAGAGAGTCAGGGAGGATCTTGGGATCCCCAGAGAAGGCAGGGGAGGAGATGCAGAGACCCAAGCTAGCACTGGGTTTCCTCAAGTCCCCAACCCAAGAGGTGGGACTGACACAGCCCTACTGGGCTGGGGATGAGCCAGGTAGTCAGGGGAGCAGGGAGGGGGACCTCTGGAGCATTGCTCACCTTTCTGACTCCAACCTGTCCTTGAGGTTTGGGTAAATTGGCATACACGGGGCTCAGCCAATCTACAGAAAGGGAATACCAGCCCAGGGCTGGAATTAGGAAGAGATGTGGGGGAAGGGGCTGTTTTCCTAGGTCACTCCCTTCCCCAGAAAGCTGGTGCAAGAAATCTTCCTTCCTTTCTTCCCAGGACTACCTACCCATCACATCTTTGGTGAGCTTGACCTGGAAAAGTCCTGGAAATCTAGCTCTGGGTTAGAGTAGACCGTTTGATGAGATGGATAGGGACAGAAATCTAAGACCTAGCCCTAACTGCGCCAGGGGGTCCTCTGTAGCACGGGTTTATCCTTTATCCTTCCTGGACATGAATCTCCTTTCTGTAAAACCGAGCTGAACTAGACAGCGTCTAGGACTTCCATCCCATGGGGCCCATCCTTCCAGAATCCTAGGCCGGAGATGTCAAAGATGTTTCGTTTTGCCTCTGGTCAGCTCCCACCCATCAGTAGAGGGTGTGGGAAGCACGGTGCTGAGGTGGATTGTGAGGCTGGCTCCCATCAGCAAAGTTTTCCAAGAGTGAGGAGAAGGAGACGATGGCAACTAACGCCCCATTTTTGCTGTGGTTGTTGGAACAGACATAACTGCCCAGAGTTCTTGGCTCCAATCTCACGCGTGATCGTCACACTAGTGGCAAAGCTGGGAGGAGAGGCCCAGGCTCCCAATACTAGCTTCCTCCCCAGCCCCCACTGCTGCCCCGGGCATCAGCTATGAAGTCACTTACTGGAACAGGACTCTGCATGGGGCTCCTCCTCGGAGGTGGGTGTTGCTGCCTCCTGGATGGGGTCCTCTGCTTTTTCCCTTGAGAACCTGAAACCCCAAATCCCTCATTCTCGTGTGCCTCCAGTCCTTACCATCTTCACAGGCCCTACCCATATCCCACGTCCATTCTTGGGCAATGTCCCAAACCCCCCGAGTTCCCCAGTTGCTACAGACACAGCTCAGCACCACGGTCAGCCACACTTCTGCCAGGCAGGTCCCCTGCAGGCCACACCTCCTACCCCATTCCCAGCTTTACCGTCTGGCATTTCTGATGCAGAGGAAACAGCCCAGCCCTGCGGACAGGGCAATGACAGCCAGGATCCCGACAGCAATGCCACCAATGGCTCCTGCAGACAGGGATGACTGGGGGCCTGGGCAAGGAGAAAGAATGAGGACACTGCTCTTAAGAAGGAAGGGGCTCTGCCCTGGAGGCACAGGAGGGGGGCTTCCAGGATGCGATGGGGGTTCTTGGTTTCATTCTCTGAGCTTTCGTTTCTTCCTGTGCCAAATGAGCATGGCCATTCATAACCCTATAGGCTTCTGCCAGGATTAAGTGAGATCCCACTTGGAAGAACCAGGGCCATGCCTGACACAGAGTAAGCACTTGGTGAAAGGCGATGATACGATCCGGTGATGATGATGCCAGACGCTGCCTTCCCCCAGGCTCTAAGCTCCGAGAGCCCTTCATACGTGATCTCGTTCAAACCCTACAACATCCCCATGACCATCAACCGGACTCACTGCTTCCTCCTCTGAGCCTCTGTTTCTCCATTCATCAAGAGGTCTTGAGGACACCTGGGTGGTTCAGTCGGTTAAGCGTCCGACTTTGGCTCAGGTCATGATCTCACAGCTCGTGGGTTCGAGCCCCACGTCGGGCTCCGTGCTGACAGCTCAGAGCCTGGGGCCTGCTTCGGATTCTGCGTCTCCCTCTCTCTCTGCCTCTCCCCTACTCATGCTCTCTCTCTCAAAAATTAAATAAGCATTTAAAAAATAGGGAAAAAAAGGTCTTAACAAGACCAGAGGGTTGTTCTGAAGATTACATATGGTAGCTTGGGAAGGTACACTGGGTCCTCTGCTCAGCGACGACTAAAAACGTCGCTCCTGGCTTCAGACCCTAGGACAGGGCTCAGTCTCTCCTACCCAACAGAGATGCCAGCAGGCCCACCTCAGAGCCGGCTGGCTGGGGAGCTACCCAAGAAGTGTTTGCTGATACGGTATATGGAAAGGCTTGTTTCAAGCATGTGGTACAGGCTCAGCAAAGAATAATTCTATTTGTTTAATAAACACAATATGCCAGGCACTGCCATAAACACTTTACGAATGTCGGTTCATTTTCAACAACCCTAGGATATAAGCGCGGTTATTATATCTGTGTTACCTACAAGTAATCAGAGGACCAGAGATGTTAAGCAGCACGCCCAGGGTCACACAGCTATCAAGCACCAGAGCTGGCATAGGAACCCTGGCTAAGAGCCACACCGTGTTGTCCCCCCGAGAACTCAAGACAGAAATACGGGGACCCGCTGCCAGTCACACCCAGTTGTGATTCGTGTGATTCCTATCATTAATAGAATTCCTACCTCACTCCTCCACCCAGGGGCTGTCTCCCGACTCACTGTACTGCTAAACAACTCTGGAAGAGAAGGCATCACAACCCCCGTTTACAGGTAAGGAAACTGAGGCTCAGAGCAGCCTGGAAGGGTTTCCCAGGGGGCGCACGGCTAGGGAGCAGAGGTTCTAGGCTGGGATCGAACAGCTCCACACTGGGAACCTGCCCACGCAGCACACTCCCTGCCACGCGAGAAGCCCAGATAGCTTCGGC